CTTCAGCGATTTGTGCCTCAGTGCGTCTAACGCTCAGATCGTTCAGATCGTTCAAATCATTCAAATCGCGCTGCTCTAATCGCGCTTGAGGCGCCGCAGCACTTCCCGACGCTGATTGAAGCGCGTCCACCATAGACTTTGCATGTAAACCTGCTGCTCCTGATGCTGAAATCGCATTTGGTGTGAATGCAGCATAATACTACTGATTGAAAAAGCTCATTATATCTATATTTATCCTTGATTAAAATATTTTGGGGCAGGCACAGTGGCTCATTTATTATTTATTTATTTATTTACTGTTATTTTACCAGGCAAGTCCCATTGAGATCTCAGATCTCTTTTTTCAAGGGAGACCTGGGCCTGAAGGCAACCTATTGTCCATTTGTTGTGGGGTGGGAGAAACCGGAGTACCTGGAGAAAACCCACACGAGCACGAGGAGAACATGCAAATTCCACACAGAAAGACCCCAGGTCTGAACCAGGGATTGAACCCAGGACTTTCTTGCTGTGGGGCGTCGGTGCTAACCACTGAGCCGTCGTGCTGGCTCAGTTGGTAGAGCTGATGCCTCTCAGCAAGAAGGTCGCCGGTTCAAATCCCAGCCCGGGGACCTTTCTGGTTAGAGTTTGCATGTTGTCTTCATGCATGTGTGGGTTCTCTATGGGTACTCCGGCTTCCTCCCACAGACCAAAAACATGACTGTTAGGTTCATTGGTAACTCTAAATTGCCTCTATGTGTGGCCCTGTGATGGACTTGCGACCTGTCCAGGGTGTACCCCGCCCCTCACACTGTGACTGCTGGATATGGGCACCAGTGACCCACGCAACCCTGAAAGGAAGAAGCAGGTATAGAAAATGGATGGATGGATAAAATATTAGGATGAACCAGGAAATACAGATAACCTGACACTAAGATACAAGCAGGAAGAATAATGTGGAAAACATCCCAAAAGGAAACTAGACTAAATGTTGAAGCTTCTTCCAGTGGCTCATATGGTCATCATGGTAACCGGCAACCACATACCTGTGTCTGTCACTCCCTGGTTGCCAAGTTCACGAGAGGCAGACAGAAACAGATGGACAAATAAGCCTCAAACAAACAGCTGCTGTGTGAAAATAAAACTCTTGAACTGTGAGCAGCAGAAAACTCTGATGGAACCCTTGTTTCTACAGTGTTTTATGAAAGGTATACGAGAAGTGAACAAGCCTGTGATGGAGGACAAACATGTCTATGTTTTGATTTATAGTGTGAGTTTGTTATAGGGTTAGGAAATATTGGCAAAAAATAAAAAAATCACAATTAATTTAGATTTTTATCCAATACTGATTAATATGACAATTAAAAGATGACAACTGAACTTGCATGTGGCAGACGTGGCCTTGGTCTGCCTTTTCTGGCTTTCATTTTGCGTCGGGATGTCTTTGTTTCAGGTAATTAAACAAGCTTGTAGAGTTAGGGTAAGAATTAGTTGCTCTGCACTTCCTCATACGTGTTTTTGATGGTGGTGCGTGTCGCACACAAAAATATGTCATTGCATGGCAATAATTGTGATAATTGGAAAGTGGCAAATAATAATTGTTGACAGTTTTTCAAACTAATACTTGCACACATGATTTTGCCCAACCCTAGTTTGTTATAACTAAAATTGCGGGAGTAAAAGTAGTTTGTTTCCAAAGATGTGACAATTTTTGACTCTGAATGATGGTTCTGATGTGAAGTCTGTCTGACCTGCAGAGGTCCAAACAGGACTGGGTTTGCAGATGTGCTTCACAAAAATCCCACTGATCTGGAAAAGCTAAGTTCTACCAAAAGCCAAGAAGCCATCTTCCACTTCCTTATTTATATCCATGCTTGTAAAATGTCTTGCACTTTCAATCAATTTTTCTGCAAGGATGGCTGCAGTAAGGAATGTAGGAGAGCTGAAAGTTAAATGTCAATGGCTGAAAGCTTTTTTTTCTGGTTTTAGCAGCTGATGCTGATCATTCATTCTGAATTACTTTCATTAGAAAATAAGAATGTGCATGTTGTGCCAATGTGACAGAGCAACAACCCCCCACAATAAGCTATGGTTAGGCAATATTAGCAAAAAAAATTAATCACGATTAATTGTGGCATTTAGTCGGTAATGATTATAATCACACTGAACCCCTGAAGGCCCTAGATGACCTGTCATGTCCAAGTCCCATTATTGATTTAAATCACTCTAGCAGGAAAGAAATGCTGGCTGTAAGAATCTGTTTAAGTTTGTGTCAAAAATACAGACTTTAAACTACACACCACTTCTTAAACTGTGTTAATAGGACAAGTAAAACCAGAGAGATGATAAATAATTTACAGCACTTTTAAAAAATGTTTGTCATAAGAGCAAAAAAACACCTCAGTTCACCTTCTAAACCCCACCTCACCAACAAGCCCCTGACCTGCTTTATGACTGTCGCCACAGAAGGGGCACTGCTGCTCCAGGGCCAGTCACATCTGCTCCAGGGCCAGTCACATCTACCACAGGGCCAGTCACAGCTGCTCCAGGACCAGTCACAGCTGCTCCAGGGCCAGTCACATCTACCACAGGGCCAGTCACATATAGCACAGGACCAGTCACATCTACCACAGGGCCAGTCACTGCTGCTCCAGGGCCAGTCACATATACCACAGGGCCAGTCACATCTGCTCCAGGGCCAGTCACATCTGCTCCAGGGCCAGTCACATCTACCACAGGGCCAGTCACAGCTGCTCCAGGGCCAGTCACAGCTGCTCCAGGGCCAGTCAAAGCTGCTCCAGGGCCAGTCACAGCTGTCACAGGGCCAGTCACAGCTGCTCCAGGGCCAGTCACAGCTGTCACAGGGCCAGTCACAGCTGCTCCAGGGCCAGTCACATCTACCACAGGGCCAGTCACAGCTACCACAGGGCCAGTCGCATCTACCACAGGGCCAGTCACAGCTGCCACAGGGCCAGTCACAGCTGCTCCAGGGCCAGTCACATCTACCACAGGGCCAGTCGCAGCTACCACAGGGCCAGTCACAACTGATCCAGGGCCTGTCACAGCTGCCACAGGGCCAGTCACAGCTACCACAGGGCCAGTCACAGTTGATCCAGGGCCAGTCACAGCTGTCACAGGGCCAGTCACAGCTGCTCCAGGGCCAGTCACATCTACCACAGGGCCAGTCACAGCTACCACAGGGCCAGTCACATCTACCACAGGGCCAGTCACAGCTGCCACAGGACCAGTCACAGCTTCCACAGGGCCAGTCACAGCTACCACGCGGCCAGTCACAGCTGCCACAGGGCCAGTCGCTGCCACAGGGCCAGTCACAGCTCCCCCAGGGCCAGTCACATCTACCACAGGGCCAGTCACAGCTGCTCCAGGGCCAGTCACAGCTGCTCCAGGGCCAGTTACAGCTGATCCAGGGCCAGTCACATCTACCACAGGACCAGTCACATCTGCTCCAGGGCCAGTCACATCTACCACAGGGCCAGTCACAGCTGCTCCAGGGCCAGTCACAGCTGCTCCAGGGCCAGTCACATCTACCACAGGGCCAGTCACAGCTGCTCCAGGACCAGTCACAGCTGCTCCAGGGCCAGTTACAGCTGATCCAGGACCAGTCACTGCTGCCACAGGACCAGTCACAGCTGCCACAGGACCAGTCACAGCTGCCACAGGACCAGTCACAGCTGCCACAGGACCAGTCACAGCTACTCCAGGGCCAGTCACAGCTGATCCAGGGCCAGTCACAGCTGCCACAGGACCATTAACAGCTGCTCCAGGGCCAGTCACAGCTGATCCAGAGTCAGTCCAGGGCTGATCCCTTGATCTGGGCCATGGGCAGTCCATACAGACTTTTGTTTACTTTGTCCCAGGTCATCCTGACAGATTTTTCTGATCGTTGATTTTTTTTGTACCTTCCATCCTGTGCGTTCAACATCCTACCTCCTGAGTCAGATGTAATTTATTTGTTTACTCTTAATACCACGGGCTGGCATTGACCCCCACCCCCCCGGGGGGTGGGGGTCAATGCCCAGTTCTGTCCAGTTCTGCCAGTTCTGCCCAGCCCATTTCTGTCCAGTTCTGCCCAGTTCTGTCCTGGAGATTAACTGGTTTGAGATTAACTGGTTTGAAAGAATCTTTATCATTTGCTGGTGACCAAGGTGCTTGAAGTGCAATGAGCAGCCAAGCCTTAACTAGTATTTGATAAATATCGTAATTCTAGAATTTTTTCCAATCTTTAACCTGATTTATTTGATCTAACTTAACTTCGGTTTGATACTTTAGTCTCACGGTTTGATATTTTTTCGATACAAAAAAGAAAAATTTCCATGCCCCTTTTAACTTGTAATTTATTTATATAAATCATGAACATTTATTTAACCTCAAAAGTACAGTTTTTACATTGAATATTGCTGAAACAGCAAGTTTCTCATCGGATCTGAGCTCAAAAATACAGCCTAGGTGGAGTAGTTGAACACAGATCCACTGATCCTTCAACACAGAGCATCTTCAGAAGACAAGTTGATAAAGTAAATTTTTAAAATCTGTATTGTTCGATACGGTTCGGTACGGTTCACTGGTACATGTATTGTCGCACCCCTACTATTTATGTCTGAAAGTATTTTGTGCTCAGCTCTAATTTGCATGTCAGTTTTATTTGGTTCAGTTACATTAGATTTACTGTATCTCGCCAGTTGTTTGTGCCATTATTTTTATAATCGATTAATCACTGTTTATTTTTTTCGATTAGTCGACTAATCG